AAGCTGGTTTTTGTGATTTATTCTGCTTTAAACACCAACTTCTTCAGTATGAGGCTGTTTATTTTTACCAATTCATAAAACTGAGCCTCCTAACATCATTTACTATTTATTACAATCTATTTCCATCTGGTACAGTCGAACCACAGCGACGTCCGTAAAGGACCAAATACCAAACGGTTCCATTTTAAAACGTCCACATGAGCTTTTTCCTGCTGAAGCTGCAGAGGATGAAACAGCTCAGCGGGGCTCAAACACTCTGACAGCAAAGTCTCAGCGGGAATCAGAAGCTCGACCTGTAATCGCACAATTTATGCGGATCGTGCTGAGTGGCGGCGAGTCGGACCAACGGGAGGATCTGTGGAGAACCTGAGGATCCCAGGAGGGACGGCGTTCACCTGAGCGATAACGGAGCTCATTTGTTTCCTCTGTGTGGCCGAATATTAATGCTGAAGGCAGCCGCTGTGTTTCTGTGTGCAGGGGCACTGTCTGTCTGCATAAATATAAATATAAATATAAATATAAATATAAATATGTGTGTGTTATTGCTTTCTTTGCCGTATTTCTTGTGACTCTGACTTGTAATGAATCTAAACGCTGCAGAGTGAGAAAAAAAAAAATTGACATTGAACGTAAACAGCAGAAATCAAATAAAATGTTGTCTTTGGAGACGAAGGTCAACAGCAGCAACACACACACCTTCTACAGAGGATAAATATAATATGTGTAGAATGGACTGAGTGTAACATTTTACTGCAAAACAATGATTTAAAAAAAAAAATAGTTTTTAACTGTAAAGATGTATTTTTACAATTTAATGTTCTTTTATAGATTTTTCCTGTTTTGTTGAATTACAGACAATGACTAGTAGAACAACTGAAAAGGTTCTAACAAAAAATTATCTGTTAAAAAGAAAACAGAACAAAACTGTGAATAACGTCACATCTAAAATATCTATTTATAAATGGTCATTTGTTCTTTTACAGTGTTTTACTATGAAATTAGGCTCTATTATTGTATTTAAATGAGTATAAAATATAGTTTTATTGATATATATTTTCCATAATTTAAAAAGAAAATTATGTATTTTAATGAATAAAAAACATTTAGATCATTTTATGTTTTACAGCAAACATCTTGAAAAGTGACATTTTAAAAAGTATTAATTTATACGTTAACTATATTAAAAAAACGCAGGTCAAAAATTGTAAATAATGTCCACATTTAAAGTCTGCACTTTTATAAATAGCCATTTGTTCTTTTACATTGTTTTACTGTAAAATTAGGCTCGTTTGACTGTATTTAAACATGTAAAAATCTACTCATATTACAGATATTTGCTATTATTCAATAGAGAAAAATATACATATGAAGGATTGAAAAATCATTTTTTGAACTGGTGTTTTAGAGCGTTTCCCTGTTTTGTTTAATTACAGATAATAACGAGTAAAATCCCAGAAAACGTTTTCATTTACAGGTTTAGTTTAACAAACAGTCCAAACTGTCAAAAAATGTCCACAATTAAAATCTGTAACTTTATAAATGCTCATTTGTACTTTAACAATGTTTAAAGTAGAATTCTACTCTTTGTAGTGCATTTAAAAGAGTAAAAATATTGTTTAATGTTAAAGCAATATTATGCATTTAAGACAGAAAAATCATTCAAAATCTTTTTTTTTTTTTTTTTTTTTACAGATTCCTCCCATTTTGTTTTACAGCTAATATAAAGTGTAAAATCACTGAAAAAAGTAATAATTCACATGTTTACTATAAAAAAGAATCTGACCCACACCTTAAAAAATGTGCACATCAAAAGTGTTCATTATGATAAAATGTGCTTTGTTCTCTGATCACAAAATTCACTGTTTCTACTGTATTTAAATCAGCAAAAAAATGACTGTCCAATCAGAAATCTGTATTTTTACTCTTCGTAATTCCTTCTTCTACATGTGACAAACAGCTTTACTGCTGCTGTTCATTTTTAAAGTAATAAGAAGGACGTTGCAGTCGTCTGCTGATGCTCTTCATTGACATTTTACAGAAACTGATCCGGATCCTCATCAAAATGTGACTGTCTATGATCTCCACCTTGTTTCATGAACTTCTACCTGCTAGTTTTGGATAATCCTGCTCACAAACAGAGACAGTGGGGGAAACATCAGAGACTCAGGAAGCTTTACAGAGGTTAAAATCAGCCTCCAGATGTGTCTGAAGTCACAGAAAAGCTGTCACCGCCTTTTATTTATAGTTTTTACTGGTTTCTTTTTCTTGCCGGGAACCACATGCTAACCAACTAGCTGCTAGCTAACTCTGTGAGTGCAACTACTTTGCATGTCTGTTTCTGCAAAAATGAACAAATAAACTGACCTGAAAACACCTCTCTGTCCCGGTGAGGAATAATTTTATAAATCTACAAATCAGCTGAGCGTGACAGTCATGATGGTACTTGTCCAGACTGTGACAGCCCCACCTAGTCTGTGGTTGGGCACATTGGCTGTCTGTGTTTGGCTGTTTGGCTATTTCCTCAGGTCCCTAGATTGCTGGAGACTGAGTGGGCGGTCCTACCTGATTGGCACGCTCGGGCCCAGCGCTCCCAGGTATAAAAGGGCCAACCCCTCAGCTCCTGCTCTCTCTCTCTCCTCATGCTCGTGATTTGTGGTTTGGTTCGTTTTTGGTTTGGTTCTCACATCTAACAACACCTTGCACCACATCACATCCAGGCATCCAGACATCTGCACCCACACTACTGACATTCATGACATACACACCTCACTTTGACTAAATTAATTTAACCAATTAATAAAACTTTATGTTAAAATCTGACAATACCTGTGTCATCTTCCCTCTTTTGCCACAACCTATTTGCCGGGTTGTGACAAGACCCACCAGGCCCGGATTGAGCTTCTGTTTAAGTAGAACCACTCAGATACTCACACCAAGACGGGTCGGACGGCGTTGTTCATGTTGCCGTAGGCGGCTCGACCCAGCAGCTCCCTGAAGCAGCTCTCAGCCAGCGCCGCTGGGTTCTCCTCGCCGTCCTGACCGGCTCCGGACGGCGTGCTGGGATGACCCGCCCTGAAAAACAGCGAAAAAGAAAAGACACGACATGAAACCAAGGCCAGATCGAAGCTCCGCCAGCGTCTCACGATTTCCTTAAAGAACAATTACACGTCAACTAAGTGTCACAACCGCAAAGCCAAAGATCAATTTTTTTCTTATCAAACACGAAGAATCTGTAAAGAGAGAGACGGATGAGAGAGCAGAGGGATAAAAATGATGGAGTAAGTGAGGAATAAAGAACTAAAGCAGGAGAAAAGAATCAATCAGAGCAGCTGAAAAAAAAAAAAGGAGAAATCAAATGAAAGAGTATCGACCAGCATGTGGAGACAATCAGCCTCCATCAGGAGACAGAAACGGCAAAAAAAAAAACTCTACGGGCGAGAAATTCAATCAGGCAGCAGTTCACAGTGAAATGAGACGGAACAGGTTCTCAGTTCAAAATGATGATGAAGGTAACTAAATAATTGAGTGTTAAATTCAAATTAAAAACCAATCAGAGCTTTAAAAATAAAGGAATTCTGGTGCAGCTCACGATCAGGTCGGTGTCAAAGTTGTAAAATTACCCTGAAGTGATGCACAAAACGTCTAGAAAACACAAAGATCTTTAGTTTGAACACAGAGGAAAAGTGACGGCAGCTTGTGTTTGAGTATTTCTGTACGTTTGTTATTCTGTGTTTTAGTTTTTATTCTGTTTTCACATTTTTAGTCGCTGCTTATGCTCTCACCTGCTACTTACTTAGGTTTGCAGTCACCGTCTGCCTTCATTTTCACTTGTTTTTCGTCACTGTTTATCTTCATCTTCAGTCATTTTCAGACACTGTTTGCCTTTATTCCCCCACAGTTGCTGTTTGCTTCTAGTTTGAGTTACTTCAGCTGCTGGTTGCACTCATTTGTTGTCGCTGTTTACTTTCATTTTTAATCCTTATCAGTTACTTTCTACCTGTTCTCGGCTGATGTTAACTTTCATCGTCAGTCACTGTTTGCATTCGTTGTCGATTGCTTTCAGTCACTACTTACATTAGTTTCCAGGTTTTGCTGTCTCTTCCTTTCCTTTTCTGTCACCGTTTGCTTTCACTTTCAGTTGCTACTGACTTCTGTTTTGCATCACTGTTTACTACTTTCATTTCCAGCAATTTCCAGCTGTGGTTTACTGTTGTTTTCAGTCACTGTTACACTTCTGTTTTGAGTCATTTTCTAGAGCGAACATAGAGAAAAAAACGTATGTGGAAGACTTGTGGATGTCAATCTCACCACAAGGTCCAGAAGAAAATAATGAGATGAGGTTAAAAGCTCCAGAACCTTCTAATAAAGGACCTTGTAGTGAAGATTTCAGAACTCAACAACAAAACAGATAATTTATCTATAAAACAACAAGAAGCTTCAACAAAAAATAATTCATATCAAATTTTTTATATTTTCTACATCTATTTTCAAGGTTCGGTGAAGTTTTGACAACTAAAACTGCTTCAGGTTAAAAAAAAAAGTTGGATTTACAGTCACAAGAAATCGATTTTGCTGCTGTTCAACCTTCACAAATCTCCTTCCTCAGACGTTCTACCAGCTGTAATACATTTCACAAAACTTCTACCTCTGGTTCTGAGAAAATGATTCACAGAACCACAAGCATTCTGGTTTTTGGAGACGTTCTATTTCTCGTCTAAGAGTTTTACCAATTCTGAGGCGAAGAAGCCTCTTGGATGACGGCGAAACGTCCTCAAGGAAGCAAAAAAGAAAGCTGCTTTTTCACCGACGCTCTGAGGATTACGTGACCTGGATGAATCTTCACACAAGTGGTCACTCGCAAACAAAGTGTAAACACGGTCCAAGTGTGAGCCTTCCAACAAACTATCACTGCTTCCACTTAAATCTTCTGCAAAGATGCTCTTAATTAACTTCAGTTCCTTGTTGATCCTGCAGCTCTCTGTACAAGATATAAAACTTGTTCTGTACAAGTTTGTCATTTCCTGCAGAGCTGCCAACCATCCACAGTTCTGGCAGCAGACCAACACAGCCGCCCGTTATGTGTTATATTGATAAAATAATGTAATAGTAAATCACTTCCGCAGCAATAAGCCCGGTCACAGATGGACTGTAGGCAGTCGGGTCTCAGGAGGGAAACAATGCAATTACTGTCAGCCCACACAGGCGGTTCAGGGGAAATTAAATGCTTATTGCTTGTTAGAAGCAGGGAAATGAGAGACAAAAATGAAAATCTCTGCCGTGAGAGAAGGTGGGTTGTTGTTGTTTAATGAAGTGTTCAGAACAAACTTAGTAAAAGCTTTTTTTTCTGATGATTGGTCGTCTGAGGAAAGTTTTCAGCTGTTCCCGAGGACTAAAGAACATCGTGCTGCCGCAGAGAAATTCAATTTAAAGTCTAGCCAGGATCCTGCAGGTTTCATATACTGGACGCCGCAATGAATGGTGGTAAATGTGCATGAAATGATGCACAGGGCATCCAGAAAATTCATCCTGATGTGCTACAGAGTAGGGAAAGTTTACTGACTAACTTTAAGGGCATTGCTGGAGGTAATCTGTCAGCTGTAGCTGCAAACAGCAAGAATGTGAAGATCTTCAAAAGTCAGGTTTGCTTTTGCATAACTTAAAGTATTGTTTAACTATTTGAGGAAAACTTCAATGTATGAAACGTTAGATTACTCTAGTTTGCTCTTAAGATAGCAATCACCATGTTAATAAACCAGTGGTTCTCAAACTGGGGGTCCTTTTTTCTCACTTGTTTCTGTTATGATTTGATTATGCTATATTATTATTCTTTTTAATGCTCTTTTTTAAAATTATTTTCTTTTATTTTTATATTTTTTCCCCTTTCATTTGTTGGAAATAAATTCAATTCATTCAAAAGAAAATGAACGTGTTCATGTAAAGAGATGAATCTGTGGAATCAACACATTCATTTTTAACGCGTTAATGCATGAACAACAAAGTTACTACTCATGATACATTAAAAATTCAAACTGAGGGGTCATGAACACAAATTTATGTCATCTTGGGGGTCGTGGCTCAAAAAGTTTGAGCAGTAAACCGTCGATAAATGGTTGAAATGAATGTGGATGTTTCTTCACATCCATCTTTTATCACTGGTCAGCTACAACACACAGTTAAGGAATAGATCAAGTTAACACCAGCAATTCAAAGTGTTGAACGCAGCAGATGAGCTGTAATAACCGTTATTAATCTCCTCACAGTGGTTTGATATCAGAATAATCTAGGGATGCAAGTTGTAAGCAGCTTCCTTCACTGTTAGGTGGCTGCATTGCTGGTTCATGGAAAACGCATCACTGGAAATATTCCACAGAAAGCAGATTTAAAACTCTCGTGTAAAACTAGTCGGCATAAACGACGACACTGAAAATGCATCGATATTTAAATTAATAAACCGACACAGTTTTTGACATTCTGTTCTAAAGGCTTCAGTTAATTCTTTCTCATCACGATGTCATCACGACAATATGACGCCGGTTGTTTCTGGTTCCAGTTGTGCAGCTTCAGTTTTAATAAATGTCGGCTGCAGACGAGTCCAAATCGGTTCGGTGCAAAAGTTTCTAAAAGACCAAAGACTCCAAAAGGTCTCAGAGTGCAAAAGGTGATTGGTCCAGTGTGCAGTTTGGATGAAAGATGACAGCAGCAGAAATGAATCTCATCACAAGTTCAGTCCACAGATAACTGCTGACGGCGTTCCAGCAGCCGAAGGAGTAAAAGCCGAGTTTAATCTCTGAAGACGTTCAGAGAAACAGAGAAGCTGGTGTGACGCAGAGATGAAGGGAAAACATCAGTCTGACGTCAAAGTCGTTTTCAAGGTTGTCGCCTTGAAATGCAGCACAGTGTGTGCGTTTGTGTGCCGAGGAGCAACACAAGCAGGTGGCTTATTGTAAAAACAACAGCAGCCTCCTTCATTCTCTCCCGGATTCTGCAGGCCGGCCACGTCCGCCTTCCCCGAGAAGCAATTAACAGAATCCAGCACCCTTGACCGCTGCCTCCCGCCAGGTCCGCAAAGTCTCGATTAGAAAGAAGCGCGACGCGCCGCCGCCACGAGGCAAACGGACCGGGGTCGGAAACAACACGGCACCAAGATTGTGTTTGTGAGTTCGCTCTGGGAAAGAAAAGAAACTAAACAATAAAATGCTTCTTTTTTTTTTCCCCTCCCCCAGAAGATGACGGTGTTTTTGTGGCTGATTTACACATTAATAGCGACAAACCTGCAGATGGACTTTGTGTTCTCTGGATGGTCATCAGAGTTTATGTCCAAACACCATCAGAGGACGTTTCTATTCAAAGAGGGTCATGGCTGAACCAAACAGTGTGACGACAGAGAGACTTTGGATAAATGAACGTAACATGTTTCCTCTATCGTACCTCCTAGTTCTGGATTTACAGCACGTTTGCTCTCCAACTCAGCGTTTCATTAATTGATTAAGCCCTTCTGGTGCTGAGAGTAACAACAAGGACTTGTGACTTTTTATTCCTACTTCTTCTTCTTACAGTTGTGACAGACTGCTGTGCGTCCTAAACTTTGATCGTCACAGTCTGTAGTGCAAAAGAGGCGTCCATCTGTCGTCACTGTGTTTCTTCCTCTGAAGACTCTTTATTATCTGCATCATCAGAAACTTACTTACATCAAGTAGAGAGACGAGCTTTAAATATTAAATTTTGCAAACAGTGCTGCATTGATGAATACGTTTTCTAACATGTCCTCTGTAACAGCTCTATTGGGAGGGTTTGTTTCATGCCCCCTAGTGGCCAAAAAACACAAATATTTTCAAACAGTTAAAACCTCCCGATAACTTACTAATTAAACTGTCCTCAAAAAAACAATGGTGTCTTTCACGTTGAACAGCGAACATCTGGTGAGTCACAAGCAAAGAATTGGCAGCTTTCAACTGGATGGTTCAAAAGCTTTAAGAGACAGGTCCATAATAGGTGCTTTCAGCTTCTCTGTTTCCATCGTGGTGTAGAATGTAGTGCTTCGACTGTGATGTCACTCTGAATGCACCAGAACA